ATCACAGATGGCTCCTAAGGTGTTTAAGAAGTCACCTGTCAGGACATATTACAGAGAAAGCTGTAATAATGCCTAAGGGTTAAAGGTAACCTTAAGGAGTTGGGGGACAAGGGTAGCAACCTGGTTTCCTAACTTCCCTCTTTTGTGCCAGATTTGAGACATAAGGGAGACCCAGTTCTTGAAAGGTGCTGGGTCTGGACAGGTCGAAAACCATTATGATTGAAAATGCCCCCCAAAGCTGGTGCCTGTATTGTTACAGCCCTATGTGCAGGATTGAAATGCAAAATTTACTAGCCAAGATGCACTGTTGACTTATTCAAGGTTTGTTTCCTTACATAGAGAGATTCAGAAAGCAAGGAGCTGTGATAGATAGAGGGAAGGGGAAAACAGGCTGTAAGGCAGCTGTTAAAGAGAGAGGTGTGGAAAGTGGTTAGAAAGAGAGGAGAGAATAAGACATTAACAGAATTTAAATGCTAGAGCAGGTAGGAGGAAAGAGTAAGAATGAAATTCTAGGAATGACTACTTTAGAGCAGGGAGTAATAAAAGTAAAGCCTAAGAAGTGGGCTGCATTGCAGAGTTTGTTGAGGTGTTTGTGCAAAACAGAGAGTGCAAGCAGTGTTCTGTGTTTGCTCTGTGCCTGTAGTGCAAGGCAAAAACTGCTAGAAGTGTAAAAGTATACTCTTATTGGTAATAGGTGTAAGGTATGTCCAGAAATAGTGTGGGTATAATATAGGTATCCTAGAAAGAACGGTGTTAGCAGTTGTTAAGGTTTGGCTGTGATTGAGTGAATGATAGGGTTAACCCAGACAATTGAATGAAGGCATTTCCTAAAGTTTGGGCAGAGAAAAAGGTTAAAATGTGACGAGATACAGGCATGTGTCTTAATTGAGGGACCAAACCCTCCTCCACCAATGCACTGTAAATATTCACTGGAAACTGAAATAGGATTATAGCTCATAGAAGTTTGTTAAGTCAGGAAATGATAGTATAAATGCTTAGTGTGTGTGACTCTCTGATTTGAAATTTGGTCTGTTCTGAAAGGCAGAGTACCCTGCAATTATAGCAGCTATAGCAGGAGGGGTAAAATGGTTTTCAGTATTAAATTTGGCTAATGCAGGTTGTAGTTTTGTTTGTTTTCTATCTCCTTGGTATAAAAGTGCTGGCATAATTTTAAATATATATTCAAGGAACAACAGTATTGTTTTACCCCAAGTATCCTAAAGATTTAACAATCACAGCCAAAAGAGCATGGAAAAAGCTTTCTAAGTAAAAATTCTGAGGGAGAAATTGTCCCTCTAAAGGAAAAGCTCATCTTTAAAATGACAATTTGGCTTAATTGTAACAAGGGTATTGGCATCCCTCAATCTCACATATACAGCAACAAGAGGGCTCCATTGAGCAATTAATTTTGGGAGCCCCCATGTTAAATAAATCACCTGACCCTCAAGGAATAAGGTAAACAGTCTTCTCTACCTGCTGGCCACCCTTCTTGGCTAGCAGGAAGGAACGGCTCTGAGCAGTTGGAAAATATGCATTGGACAGGCTGATCAGAGGCCACCCCAATGTTAAGGCAGAAAACAGCCAGAAAAGTACTTGACTTATGATGGCCACCTTCTTGTAGGTAACTGCTCCACCTTTTCTGCATAGGAGAGAAGAACCCCAAGAATGGCAATGATGTGTGCACTGCCACTTGCACATGTCAGCATTGTACATTTGTAAATATGAATAACAAGCCACTGCAAAGAGTTTTCCTTGGCTGGTTTGTGTGTGTTTGTTTTCTTTTGCAGAAACCACAGTGTAATCTCAATCCAGTAGCAAAAGTGACTGGTAGACCACGAGGCCTCATTACCATCAGCATTGCCTTCCTCATCTAAGCCGTGGCAAAAATTACAGCAAAAAAAAATTGTCTGTTTGTGTTGTGTTGTTATATGTTTTGTGTTTGTTTGGTTTGTTTTAAATTGTCAAAAGTTTAAATATATATGACTATCATAAAGATATGATAAAAAAAATAATTGGTAATACCCCCTCTAAAAATGGAATCTGTCTGTGGATCCCAGACTAGAACACTTCCATCCAGCTGGATTGGAAAGTTGTTCTAATATTTGAAACAAGGGCAGAAATTCATATAAAAGTTTTAAATTCCACTTGATTAGCAAAATAATATTTATTAAAGGTAATGTGTATTTTGTTTATTCTTTTTTTTTCTCTTCTCTAAACCATCTGATAAAATGTTTTTTTTCCCCTCAAGGATTTAAGTGCTATTTAGAACATCAGTATAACAAGATGTGTGTAAGAAACTGCATTAACCCATTGTGTTAAAGGAAACAAGAACCTGCAGAGTTAATGTTTCCTAAACCTGAAGCCTCTGTGTCTAAAGAAAAAAAATGGTTAAAAACTAAGTTAAATTTGGCTCCGCAATGGTATAGTAGTATGAGAGTAATCATGGCAGATGAAAAGGTAAGTCTGCCTGTTGCATCTAGAAATGTATTTCTAATGAATCAGCCAGCATATGGAAAAGGAATCACCCTTGGTAATACAAATCCCATCCATAAAAAGGCACACAGGTTCCATAATAAAACATCAAAGTCATATTTAATTAAACATTATTTTAATAAGTGAAGAGACGATTATACTGTTTACAGCAACCTTATTATGTTATTTTCTTTCTCTTCCCCCCACCAAGGTTTTTCTCTTGTAATTTCTTTTAACAGCTTAAGTTTTGTTTTAACTTCAAAGCAGTTGAAGATGACATGCCTCCTTTCTATAAAGCGGGACCATGGTGTTCAGTAACTGAAAGGTTATAGTGACATCACCCTGAAGGGCCGATGTCAAGGGGGGAGTAATGTAGCAGAAACCCCCTTTTGTATATTGCCCTTCTAGACATTGATATAACAGAAGCCCCTTCTTGCCTGAACACCCCCCACTCCCCATTTTGTGTATTTCTTTTTCCTTCTAAGTATTGTAAGAGACCTAGCACACTCATTGCCTGGGTGTGGCAAGGCTCAAGAGCAAGCCAGAAAGCTGAAGTGGCTTTCTGTAGGAGAAACCTAGAAACTACATCTACATATCAGTTAAGCTCAGTGTCACTAAAGAAAATAAAAGAACTAAAATATCTACTTCAATGACTGTAAATATATCCTGTGCTAACCTACCTCATTTACTGTCCCCAGTAAACTTTGATCCTCACTATCTCACATTGCATTTTGATATATTTCTCACAGTGCATTTTTATTTTTCATCTGTCTCATCTTTACCATGGCATTTTGTATTTTATATTTCATACTGTTAAACCCTTAAGGAACATACTTCCTGTAGAATGATGAAGTTATAACCTGGACCATTGTTAAAAGCTGCATTGAAATTGTAATTGTAAAGTGATAACATCTGCTATATTGGGCTGTCCCTTAAATGAATGTGAGCATGAATGCCAAACCAAGTATCTCTGCTTGTTACTTGACAATAGAGTAGCCAGAGGAACTTACCATTACAAAACTATACAAGCCATTTTAAGTTAATCAAGCCAAGGAACTGATTCCTGGAACTAAGCACCCATTCTATTGACTATTTTTGTAACCCATGTTAATGTAGCTGTTAAGCCAATAAGTCAAGGGTGGACTCCCAAAACCTCAGGTACCAGCAGGCAGAGACCCCCTTCTGGAGAAGACAGCTCCTTGAAGGAAGCTAACCATTGACACCAGACTCCAGGGCCTCAGATAGGTAGATATACTGAAACCAGTGCTCTCACAATCACTACATCATGCAGGTATCAAATTTATGCCCAACTAGTTACTGCACAGTAATGCACGTGTAGACACATTACTGCACATTAGGCATACAAGGTTCTTTTTGTAAATCTGATATCTTTATTTCAGTTGGTCTCATAAGTTGGAAAAATTCTTCTTTGCAAGCTTTCAGTTACAAATACCCTTTCTGAGGCTGAGGAAGCATCTACAGTTGGTGTGTGCTCTTCCTGGAAGGAATGAATAGTAAAGAAGCCAGCGGCTGGTATGCATGCAAGAAAGCCAGTCAGTGAAGATGTAAATTAAGGAGTCAGTGGGGGAGAGACAGGCTGGGGGGAAGAGGAATGAATGCAGCTTGTAAACTATTTACCACTACATTCATTCCCCTTCCCCACTCCCCCCTAGCCTGTCTCTCCCCCACTACATATTACTGCACAGTAAGCTCATTAATGCTGTGTGGGGTAAGTGGCTTGGGATTAATTTTAGTCCCAAATCAATCCACACGCAGTGTTAATGGACTTTAATGCCTGCACTTGTAGATGTCTGCTTATTTCCACTTACTGCACAGTAATTTACTATGCAGTAAATTTAAGCCAGCATAAATGCATGTGTAGAAATGCCCAGTGAGACTAGAATCCAAAGTTCATTCAACTCCACCCTGATAATTCCTTGTGAGTGAGATGAGTAATTAGTGGGTATTCAGTCATTCCAGTGGCCACTGCACTTTGACCAGGATGGTCAGGGAGATGAAGTATTTATAATACTTGACAATAATTTATACACAGCTAATAAACGTACCTATTCTGCATTTAAGTTGTTTTGACCTGAACAGGACCTGCATCCAAAACCTAATTTTTTCCTTCTGTTATTCAGCATAAAGTAGTGGGATCACAGTAGCGATCTAACCATTCCACAAGGGTTCATTACTTAGGAATTAGGATATAAACTTAGGTTAAGTGAGACATGCTGTACATAGCAATAGGCATGTGTTTAAAAAATATTGACAAATATTACACTAGTTATTCCCTTGAAAATTCAGATACCCAGTGTGGTATTGCACAGAAGTTACCACAAAAAAAATAAAATAAAATAAAAAACAACCAAAAACCCAGAAAACCAAACAAACAGCAACAAAATATTTCAACAGTGTTTTCCAGGAAAAACACTAGTCCAAGCTATGATTCTGGGGTTTTTTTCAGATAGATGGCAACTTCAAGACCAAGAGATCCGGCTTTCATTCTTAGAATCAAACTGTAGTCTTTAGCAGGCCCCTGCAAAATAATTATAAAAATAAAACTTTAACCCTTTTTTTTATTTCAGGCATGTCAATTTGCCAAGTCAGTGTTTTTCTTTTACCTCTTTGGGGTAATAGCCTTTAGCAGCCAGTTAACCTAGGTAGCGCAGCTCCTCAAATAGTAGCAGTCTGTGCTGAAGAGTCAGGATTCAGATCATGCTCATGATTTACTTTGTAGAATATATTACATATATTTGTCCTTGAAATAGCCAGGGAATGGCACACTAAGTTTGCTTTAAGAGAACTGTATTACCACTGCTAAGATTTTGGTTGAAAGTTAGGACATTCCAGATTTACCGTTATTCATGCAACCTAGATTCTGCCTTTTGCCAGGTATTGATTTTTATATGGAATACTCTTTCCACAGGACATCAGCAACAGTGTGTAGGACTGATTCAAGGAGAAGTGTGAAGACTGTGGGGCAACCTGACATCTAACCTTTGCTAAATGTCATGTACTTTATTTTTCAGTCACACTCTTACTTAAAAATGCAAAGAAAAGAGCATTAATTCAGTTGCCCTCACTTTATTTACAATAAATGCAGCCCTCTTATTCTTAGCTAGCTGCCAACATAGTCCCTAATTTGGAAAAGTACATCTGACCTCTATATGGTACCAGGTCTGTCTGGTTACTGTCTTAGGGCTTGTCTATACTACTATAGCAGGAAATCCTGGGAAGGATTAGCCTGAGCCTGTTCCACTCGCTCAAGTCTGCTACAGACATCAGACCCTGAAGTCCACCAGTAACACTGCTCTGGTCATGTCTCCAGTTGCACTTTCAGGCCCACTGGAGTCTGTGAGCACAAGCATAAGTCATGTAGACAAGCTCAGAGCAACCTCACAGATTAACTTCAAAATCTAAGCATGTCAGTATGTTTGGGTGTGCAAAGCATACTGATCCTTGTCCCCCTGGGAAACACTTCTGCCACAGTAGACAAGCCCTTATAGTACCTGACTGCAGCACAGGCTTGAACTGTCCAGACATGCAGATCTCTTCCTGTTTCTGACGCACAATACGCTGAATGGCTGGTGAGAAACCACGAGGGTTGCGTGAGAAGATAATGGAGTACCCATCATCACACGTTCCATCCTCTTTCCTTGTACGACAGGCATATGTAACAGCATAGTTAACGTAATCGGTGTCAATCACCCAGTAGTCATCTCCTGAAATATAAGGACAGCTTTGTTAGTCCTGGTCTCCACATTCTTACACTGAGCAAAGATCTCTTCTTACAGACAAAGGTTTTACCTCCCAAAAATATCTAGGGTGAGAGCAGCTTCCCAGAGGATGGAAAGTTCTCTGTCTCTTAAAGACCTGACCTTAAGACTATATATCTTTCAACAAGCACATCTACATGTTCACTTTAATCCACAGTAAACTATTTTACTGTGCATTAAAGCGGCACATAAAAAAATGGTGACATTACACTAATGTGCAGTAAATAGTCTACTGCACATTAAGCAGCATTAAAAAAGCATGCAAATGTGCTACTGCACATTAGTGCAGCCTAATAAGCATTAATTTAGTACTTCACAAGATGTGCCCAATAAGATATGCTTTAGTCCACTCACGAGGTGAGCTCAGTGCATTTCTCCCTGCATTCTTGTGATGCTTTGGCTATGCCAAAGACCAGACTCTGGCATGCACAGTAGGGGGCACTACTATGCAGGGCCACCTGCCCCACTGTTCCAGGCTTAAAAACCTCACTTTGGGAGTCTCCCATGGGGTGCCTATAGCCAGCTGTCCCGCTTCCTGGAGAACACCAGCAAGCCTGGGGTAACGCTGCTACCACCCAGGCACTGGCCTCTGTTAGGGCTCTGTGCAGCCAGGGTGCACAGACCCTGCAAGCCTTGGGGGTGCTTTACCCACAGGCATGAATGCCTTGTGCCTCCTGAGGCTGGGGGGGACATGGTTACCACCCGCAGGCAGTGGCGGTGGTGTTGGCGGTGAGCAGGGACTGCCCACCAGTGACCATGGTGACATCAGCGGTGAGGGCAGGCCAAGTGGGGACCGCCCATAGGCAGCTGTGGCAGTATCAGTGGTGATGGGGGGAGCTCTGAGTGGTGATCAGCGACCGCCTGCAGATGCCAATGGCAGTAGCAGTGGCTGGGGGACATGGCAAGCAGTGACTGCCCACAGACACTGCTGGCAGCAGCAACCAATCTTGGGGGGCGGGGCCAATCTCAGGGTGTGCACGTGCACCTGCATGCATTCCCTACGCGTTGCCAATGCCTCACAGGTAATATTTCTGGGTGCCTCTTTCAGCTTGAAGCATCCCAAGATAACCTCAAGTAGGACTGAGGAAACATAAACAGATGAGCTGTGCTGGCCAAGCTGGGAGCAAAAAAGCTTGCCTCTCACCCTGCCACAGTACCACAGTAAGGCATGCTGTAACCCAATACCATTTTTGATCAAGGGGCAGGGGGAGAACAAGGAAGTCAGAGGATGCTTTAAGCAAACATAATCAATCAGGCAACCCCTGCTTAGTGCTTTAATGGGTTCCTGAAAAACTGAGCATTAAGCAAAATGAGTGTTAAGCGAAACTGAAAGTATTTGATGACAGAAGATGGCAACTGCAATTGTTTTTAATGACCCAAGATGGTGACCGTGAGCACTGTTATGAAACCTGCTGAGCGCTAAGTGAAATCAGGTATCAATTTCAAATGAGCGTTATAGCGAAATAGCACTAAGTGAAACAGCATTAAGTGGGGGTTGCCTGTACAGTCTTGGGCATAAGAATCCTTTTAAAACTCATCTGCCTATACATAAATCCTAACACCTGGCTAGTTTCCAAATTTTTACTTAAAGGAGTTCATCCACGCAGCAGCCTGGAGGCACTTTGCCTGTGGCTTTTCAAAATGCCCACTGGAGGAAGACAGCATTCCCCCCTCCCCTCAGGAGTTTATCCAGCCTGGTCACCTGGTTGACCAGCCTGAACCAAATAGAAAGCAAGAGAGAGAGAGAGAGGGGTCCAGCTGAAATGACCGATGGGAGGGACAGAGAGAGGGGGATTTCTTCACACAGACTAAATCCCATCTGGCCTTCAATGACAAACTTCTACAATGGCACATATCTGGGAAAATACTACATGTAGACTATCAGCTACGTTAAAGTTGCATACTTTTTATGTATATAGATGTTATGTGATGTTGTGACTGTTTTCCAAGCAGTGTTTTTTAATCAGGTACATATAATGTATGTATGTATGAGGCTCACCTGGGCCTAGAGTGAGTGAGGATTTAGTTAGGGAGCTTCTGGAGGGGCTGGACGTTTTTAAGTCAGCCGGCCCAGATGATCTTCACCCTAGAGTCCTGAAGGAACTCG